AAATTAAAATATACCTGTTTTTTATAGAAATGAAAGAGAAAAGAATTTCAAAGTTCACTACAAGGATCCTTAACAAGAACTACTTACATTTGAAGAAAACCACAGTGAACTGTAAGGAGCCACGTGACAGAGAGGACCAGGATGCCATGAAAATGGCCTTGGCTACAAATAGGCCATTTCATCCTTGGCTCACTGGCATCTCTCTAGATTTTCAAGTATACAATGTTCAATTTGCTGTGCAAGGTAATTCCACCTTGCAAAGGACCTGATGTTACATTTTACCACACATAAAACTGAATTAAACTTTTACGGAATTGGAAATGCACACCATTCATCAAAACAAATGAAACAAGAAAAGAGTAGGAAGGAATACCCAGTGATGGAATAGCAAATATGAATGGAAAACAGAATAGGACTGTTAAAAATAAAAAAAATTTTGGAAGCACATAATAGAGTGCTATATGGAATCATAGTGGTGTCCAAATCACTTCTATCACATCTCATTGAATACCACAACAAAAGATGTTAAGTTTATTATAGAATGCCCACCAAATAGCCAGTTTTTGAGAAAAAAACAACTTGTTTCTCAATTCGAGCTAACCATTTCAGGCTACGGCATCAAACCAAAGTTATTGGCATCGTGTTAAGCTAGATGGGCTGAATAAAGTATGAGATTCACGTTTTTGTAAGTGAAAAGCTATTTGATTAGGTAATTTTTTTCTAAGTGAATGCAACTTTATTAGAGAAGTAAAGAAACAAAAGAACAGCTACTCCATAGAGCAGAGATTTTTGTTTTTTTTTTTTTAAGTGCAGGCAAATGTTTAGTGAAGATGATATTTCAATAAGAAAATTGGTTCTTGGGGCATATTTCCACTAAATTTGAGACATCTTAGACAAAACAAAGACTTATTTGCAAGGTGTTAGTTTTAAGGGACTGAAGTCTTGGAACTATTTGATCTAGTTACTCTATGTTCTCAACTGTGTTAACTCATTGAAGAGAACATTGTTATTTAATAACAATGGTATTGGCAGGAAAAACTGAGATACTGTTGTATCTCCTTACTCTGTCTCCAACTGTGTTTCCCTCAGCACCCAAAGCTCTGTAATGTCTCAAACTTTTAATCATGAATTTAAAAAGAGAAGCTTATCATGGAATTAGAAACAAACTATTTTAAAATTCATATGGATCCAAAAAGAGCTTGTATAGCCAGAAGAATACTAAGCAAAAAGAAAAAGCTGGAGGCATCAGGCTACCCGACTTAAAACTATACTACAAGGTTACAAAAACAGGCACATAAACCAATGGGACATAACAGAGAACTCAGAAAAGAGACTGCACATCCACAACCATTTGATCTTCAACAAACCTGACAAAAACAAGCAATGGGGAAAGGATTCCCTATTTAATAAATAATGCTGGGAAACTGGCTAGCCATATGCAGAAAATTGAAACTGGACCCCCTCCTTACATTTTACACAAAAGTTAACTCAAGATGGATTAAAGACTTAAACGTAAAATCCAAAACTAGAAAAACCCTGGAAGAAAATCTAGGCAATACCATTCCGGACATAGGGATGGGCAAAGATTTTATGATGAAATCACCAAAAGCATCTGCCACAAAAGCAAAACTTGACAAATGGGATCTAATTAAACAAAAGAGCTTCTGCACAGCAAAAAAAACTATCATCAGAGCAAACAGACATCCTATGGATGGGAGAAAATTTGTGCAATCTACTAATCTGACAAAGTTCTAATATTCAGAATCTACAAAGAACTTAAGCAAATTTACACAAAAAAAACAACTTCATTAAAAAGTGGACAAAGGACCTGAACAGACACTTCTCAGAAGTAGACGCACATGTGCCCAACAAAAATATGAAAAAAAGGTCAACATCACGGATCATTACAGAAATGCAAATCAAAACCACAAATGAGATACCATCTCATGCCAGTCAGAATGGCAATTATTAAAAAGTCAAGAAACAACAGATGCTGGTGAGGTTGTGGAGAAACAGGAATGCTTTTACACTGTTAGAGGAAAATAAATGGGTTAATCCACTGTGGAAGACAGTGTGGCAATTCCTCAAAGATTTAGAACCAGAAATACCATTTGACCCAGCAATCCCAATACAGGATATATACCCAGAGGAATATAAATCATTCTATTATAAATATATATGCATGTTTACACTCATTGCAGCACTATTCACAGTGGAATAGTGAATAGTGAATAGTCTTCAGCTAAGACATGGAATCAACCCAAATGCCCATCAATGATGGACTGGATAAAGAAAATATGGTATATATACAGCATGGAATATTATGTAGCCATAAAAAGGAATGAGATCAAGTCCTTTTCAAGGATATGGATGAGCTGGAAGCCATTATCCTCAGCAAACTCACACAGGAACAGAAAACCAAACAACACATGTTCTCTTTTATAATTGGGAACT